CACAGGGCCGGGGGGGGCCCCGCCGCCCCCCCCGAGCCGCTGGCCCCGCCGCCCGACGGCGCCCAGCCGCCCGCGGGGCCGCTCGCCGCGCCGGGCACGCCGCACAACAGCCGCGAGCCGGACGCCGAGCTGGACGAGGACGCCGGGCCGGAGTCCCCCCGGGACAACTTCACCGAGGATTCCGGCGAGTGCTCTTCCTACGCCGACCACCCCATCAAGGTGGAGTGCCCGCCCTTCGCCATCCCCGTGCCGCCGGGTGACGGTGAGTAGCCTGCGGGCTCCCGGCGCCGGCTGTCCTCCCCTCACCCCGCGGGCTCTCGCAGCCCGGCTGCCGGCGCTTCTCCGCAGCTAGCGCGCTTCTAAGTGGCTTTTGCCTTATGCTGCTGCCTCCTGCCCCGTCCTTCGCGCTCCGAAACCCGCCCGTGCTTCCCCCCACTCTTGCACCTTGCGCGTCCCTGTGAACTGGGGAGCGGGCTGCTGCCGGTGCTGGAAATGCTGCATACCGGGGAGGGGAGATAGTGCAGACAGGGACCCTAGTGAGTTTTTATCGGTATTTGTCCATGGGAAGCCCATGGAAAACTAGCGCAGAGATTATCGAGACAAAAGTGTCAGGTAGCATTGAACAAGAAAATAAGCATCCTTCTCGCTGGAGTGTTTTCCCGTTCCCTGCAGACTGAGTGCAGTTTGCTAATCGGTATTAAAACGATGATGACGATAATACCTGAAAAATCTCCTTATTGTTGCAGCTGGGCCAGAAAGCTAGGGGAGAGCTTTCACATAATAAATTGTACGGGTTAATTCAGGAACTTTCTAACTTTACCGGGCTTGTGGACAGAAACAGCACTTTGAGCCTGTCCTTTCCCTGCGCGTTCTTTACCCACAATACACATTTGTGTTGTGGAGGTGCTGGGGAAATGTTGCTTGTTTGTTTTCAATGAAATACAATACAGGGTTTTTAATACAAACATGAACCTGTCTTCAGAAGTTGACATCACTTAAGCATCAGCCGACTGGTTGACGTTTAAGCAACCTTCTTTTTACATTTAAACCCCATCAAAGAGTTGTTTACACTAATGTTCTTTTGAAATGCAAATCTAGAATGCCAACAGACTGAAACTCAATTTAGGTTAATGTGATTATCTGCAATAGACAAATGAGGCTATACTATTTAATAACCTTCACTTAAACCTTTTTAGCAGATGAAAAAGACTCCTATTGTTGAAGTTTAGCACTACAACAATTACAAAATTGCTCTGTGATTTTTGTATTACCCTTGCAACTTGGTAGAAGTTCGTGGGTTTGCTTTGGTATTCTGAAAGAAATACTATTTATCTCACATAAATACAGTTCACATTGAGAAAGTGTAACCTAATGCTTTGTGAGACGTTAGGTAGGTCACATCTTGTAGGGAGATTTTTTTGCTGTTTCCTCTTAGAAAATTGTTTTCCATCAGAAAAATAATAGATTCTTTCCTTACTTTAGGCTTTAAAGAAGTCAGTGCTCCAACCATTACCCCACCTATCAATCAGCCCAAAAGATCAAAAAAACGCCATACCAATATGACATTGGATAAAATGATGGAAAAATTCCTGCAGCAGAGCATGGATACAGATGAGAAATTTTACAGATTCGAAGAGCAGAGGCTCAAAATTGAGGACAAGCGTCGGGAAGCTGAGCATGCTCGAGAACTCCAGATGTTACAGATGTTGGGACAGATGTTGGCTGGAATTTCTTCTACGGTATCACAAAGGTCACAGTCTATGCCAACAAGTCCACCTCGGAGAGCGAACCATCGTTCATATGCGGATAACTTTAATTATAATGCTATGACAGCAACACTTTCTCCACCGATAGGTACTTCCTTCTACAGCATAGATAAAAACTAGGGTACTTTTTAAAACTTCTGTGTGAAAGCAATGGTAGTAAGCAGCTTTTGAAAATAAAAGCTAATTGGAATTATTTAATCCTGTGGTGAAGGTGTTTGTCTGATGTTGAATGAAATTAAATCATTATTCATACCATTGTACTGATTATTTAATACAGGTACATTAGTTATAACAAATTTTCATGAGCAAAATTATTCCTTTTGAACCCTATAAACCTTGGGAACTTCTTTCCACATTCATGTCTCTGTACAGTGAAGTGAGGAGGAGTTATATATGTAAAAGGCAAGTAGGAGAGTGGCTGGAAGCAATCTGGAAGCATTAGTTACTCTGTAGCAGAAATATTGCTGCTGTTCTGCTTGAAGGTACCAAGCATAACCCAGTATATGAAGTTAAGGCTGTGCATGTGTTTTTTTAGGGCTGGGAAAAGATTGGAGTTTTTCCTAGACTGAAGTAAGTCAGATGTTAAGGTCTAGCTTCTTTAAAATAAATTTCTTTACAACAAAATTCTGGAACTTATAAATTAAATACTGTATTATTGTAATAGGTGTAATAGAAGATTAAAATATTTGCTTTTTTTTTTTTGTTTTTCTACATGAGCTCTGTAAATTCTGTGGGCATCTGAATTTACTTTAAAGAAAAAGGCAAAGCAGTATCTCAGTAATTTGTATTTATGCATAAACTCTTCCTTCTGTACCTCATGTGTGGGCCAGAAGCTGATGGTAGCAATCATTAACAAACTTCTTGGGATCTGTGTGCCTGTGGCATTTATCTTTATCGTGGTCTCTTTGTACCTGGAGGTAGACTGAACGGCAGGAGGAAATCGGGGATATTCCATCAGTGCTGCACCTAGAATCAGACTGGGGGGCTTAGTGATTGTAGCCTGCCACGTGGAAATGCAAAAAGTCTTATTCTGTTCTAATTCTGAATTTCACACTGCTTGGAAGGAAAAAAGTGTAGCTCAAAAAGAGGGAGAAAAAAAAAAGGAGCTGGCCAGCATCAGTGTTGAATAATAATCTGGCATGCCAGATCCTAAGGGGCATTCCCTGAGTCCTGAGAGGCCCTTGCAGTTGTGTGTTATTTTTTCCCTGTAAAATGCGTAGCAGACTGGGTGGTTAGGCCTGTTGAGGGTTTAGGCTGGCAGATCTGGTTGTGTTTCTTGAGTGGATAGTTGTTGGTGTGTAGGATTTCCTGGTGGCAGCAGACCTTTGCAGATAATTTATGGGATGTGAATGGATACAGTGTTTCAGATGTTCTCAATTTAAAATTATGGAAAGCTGATGTGCTTTAGAATATCCCATAGGAAATTATTTAAGGTTCTAGACTGGGGTGAAGGTACCTACAAGGCCTTACCATTACTTCTGAAAGTTTTTTCCTGGAAAGCTTAATTATGGGTAGCAACCTCAAACTGAGGTTCAATTTTTCTTGTTGGATTTCATCATATAGGTGTACAGGCATATTGTGCTATGCAAAAATGCGTTTTATTTATTTAACTGTAGCAAGAGGAATTCGAGATTCTAATCTTCTAATTGGCAAGAGTGTAAAAAAGTGTTTATGCTAAAATGTGAGCATCATGCTTCAGGCAACACATCTTTTAAGGAATTAAGATTTAATTTGTTAAGAGCTGAATATGCCATAGTGATTCTGTAGGTAGAGTAGGGCTAAATTAAGAATGGCTTTTTGCATAATTCTCTGCTTTCTCTCCATTTATTATGTAGTCATTTTATATTCACACATGAACAAGAACCAGCAGCAAATAAACACAAGGCCTTCTTAGCAGCACTGCAGTTTAAGGGTTCCAAGCTACGTAATATTCTTTTGTGGTTGAAAGCCAGCAAGTGTGTGAAGTGTGATTTAAAGAAAATAATCTGCCCTATTTTCAGAGGAGATGAGGATTTTGTTCTCCTTTGGGTCACTGCAATGCTATTTTGGCCGTAATCCAAAACAGGTTGTGGGTTTTTTCTTTTATTTTCATTCCTTTCTTTTTTTACTCCCCTTTTTTATTATTTCTCAGTAAGACTGGGATGCCTGTATTCAAAAGCAAAAGATCAGCCAAGAGTATTTATCATTATTGAAGACTAAAGCATACTATTTCTGAAGATTAGCATGTCTGGTTTAGATTCTGTGAAAGACAGAGAAAAAAAACCTGTATTTTGCTGATAGGACACGGAATTTTTTTCCCCTTTATTATGCCCAGTACTTCTGGAAAAGAATTTTTTTTCCTCCTCTATATTTTGGAGTTGTGGGTTGGGGTTATTGAGTTGTGTGCAGCTGAAAATAAGGAGTAGCATGGGAGTTATTTTCTACATAATTGTGTTATATATGTGTAGCAGTTCCTTGAAAGCTTTTTAGAAGATCTGTAAAAAAGAAAGTAAGCATGGCTGTGGTCTAGGACACTGATATTAGCATTCGAATAAGCCACTCTTCTGAGCAAAATTTTACTGGTAAAAAAGGAGCTTTTAAGAAGTTGCTCTTTTAGTGTATTTGTTGCAGTTTGTAGTTAACACATTGTTGATAGAAGTAGTGATCTTCCCGTTCTTCCCGTGTTAGGTAAATGTTTCAATTCTTTCTAGTTGTAATTGTTGAAGTAATTTTTTCTTCTAAATTTTTGTAGCCTTTCGAAAGAGTCATTTGAGACATAGCTTACTGAGTGTGCGGTTGTTTTAGTATGTGGCTTGACATGTAGCTTTGCATCAGAGATCTGGAGATGTATTATAGCTAAAATGATCTTTGTGTGATATTTGTGATGTTTGCATCTAGTGCGTTGGATTAGAGTTTTGCAGAAAGACTTTCACTATGCTTTGTAACCGCCTACCAAAATAAAAAAGCAGTGAGCTAGGCCCTGATTCTGCTAAGAGGTGCAAGTCTTTAAGGGGAAGCGAAATATAAGGTAGGGTGTACATGTAAAATTTGGTCTCAGTTGCTTTGTGCTTGCTCTGTGATGTGTTCAGTCCTTACTAAGTGTTCCTATTTCAGTTGAGCTTAATTATGGAACTGATTTCAGGCTGAACTAAGAAGGTATTTCTAGTTACAAAATGTTCACGTAACTATTCTGGGTTGTTGCTTCTTTCTCTACCTGAGCCCTAAATTAGGACTGTGAACAGTCAGAATATTCTCTTCATCAGACCCTGAATGCATTTTTATGATCATCACCTTCCCTAGTTACTCACCGTTCTAAAGGCTTTTAAGTGACAAAGCAGTTGGATTTTAGATGTCACTTTGTGTATCTTTGTGTGATTTTATTAGTACATGAGTGCTTAAAAGAGATGCTTGGCAGTAGTTTAAGAAAGAACATTCTTTGAAGTAACACTTATTTTCTTCTTTTCAGTTATAGAGAGGTCTTTTTCACTGCACAGAACACACACTCTGAAGGATATGGAGAATATTTTTCAGCTGGTGCGCAATGTTATCCCTCCTCTAACAGGGAAAAAGCATAAAGGTCAAGATGGTCGTATAGGCATTGTTGGAGGATGTCGAGAGTAAGTTAAATAGAAATTTGATTTTTGCTTCTGATAAAGCATCAGGATTTCATAACTGCTTGGAGAAGCCATTGAAACTCACCTTACACTTAAACCAGTTTTCCTGAGAGCTTTTGTACTCCATCATCATGACCATGCATACTTAGGAAAGAACATGGTACCTTGCAGATGTGTTGCAAAATTTTTTTTTGCAAAACTGAATGCTATGGGAACTTAAAATGCTGTTTGTGTCTACCTTCTCTGTCTTTTTTGACCACCAAGCTCTCTGCTTTCAGTGTTGGTCTTTCCCCATAACATGGAGAGGTTTTAGAATAAGTAGAGTAAGATAGTGGCGCATCTGATTTTTTGCCGTCTTGGGAACTGTGTCTCTTTATTTTCCTATGCTATGTTTTCTTGTGGGCTTTTTATTTTGATAAATATTGGTGTTTAGTAGATTCTGTCAATGCCTTGCTTTATGTACTGAAGTAATGGAAATGTCCTATTTCAGGGATACTGCATAAATCATTAAATTTATACTGCATAAAGCAGTTAAATGCTGTGCTGACCTAGAAACAATATTGGCCACAGTACTTTGAAGGAGCCACTACACCTTCCTTCTTTTCATTTTCCCCTTTTGAAAGAGAGGTGACATCTTTCTCCTGTAAGAGAGATCTCTACTGTTGGACATCTGCTGTTAGTAAGCATTCCATGAAGAGCAAAAAGGTGTTGTCTTGTAGCTGGGTCAAATAGCCAGGAGTTAGAAGCTGATGGTCATAAGTTCTTACCTCTTGGTTGAAGTAAACTCCTTTGGAGAGTGATTGTGTTCATATCTCTCTCTTCATTCTTTATAAAGAGAATTTAGGACAACTGGAATCACAGTTTAGGCATTTTAGTTAAGCATCTAAAGCCAGATGGGATTGATCCAGGTCACAGATCCCATATTTAGCTTGCAGACAGTTTTTGGCTCTTGTTTGTTTGTCTCTGAAGTTTTACCTCTGTTACTTGAGAAAATTTTGCTGCTTTATGGCATGATCTGTGCAAATATTTCTATGAAAGATCATTATCTAATCTCATTACTGTGGTTCCTAACCTAAATTTTATTTCATTTTAGATACACTGGAGCACCATATTTTGCTGCAATTACAGCTCTCAAAGTGGTACGTGTTCCTCTTTACAAGTCCAAAATGAACTTTTCATAATTTCTGTTGGCTAGGTGTCATTTTTTAAATATCTTTCATTCTGTAATGCACATTAACTTTGAGCTCTAGAAGGTCTTCTCTTAAGCAAAGAAAATCCTTAGTTCAGGATTTGTAGAAATACTTTGTAAATGTGTCATTTACTGCGTTTCCTTTCTCTGTGTAAGGTGAAGTTAGAAATACGTCCAAAATTTGACAATTTCAGGGATATGGATAGGAAATTTCAAGACTTGATGGAATGTTTTCTCCAAAAGTGAACAATAAAATAACCTTAGATTATTGTTTAGAGTTATCTTTTTGTGCTATAGTGAGTTCTTCAGAAATTTTTTCTGGACCTGGTATTTAACTGTGTTGAATGAAATAACTTTCTTTCGAAATTTAAAGCTTTAGCCATGTAAAATTCTTACATGAAGTAAGTTTAAAGATTGTGGGTGGAATTCCATGTAATTTCTAACAGCACATTTTATTTGCATTCTAATCTTCAGCAGAAGTATTTTCTAAGCTTTTTGTTTTCCTAGAAGCATGAACTTCCTTATTGGCATGTTAAATGGCTAAACAGACTACATAAATACAGGGTGGTTGTTTAAATGTAAACAAGTCATGCTTACATGATACATCTGATTTTCAGGAAGCTATGTATACTGTGTCAGTACTTTCAGCTCATTGTGTACGTTTTTCTTTTTGAAGATTTCTCTCAATATGTAGGTAACCATCCCAGATATTTCCAACCACTTCTTCTCTCAGGATGCAAACCCTTAAAGATTTGAAACTGAAGTGATTATATTTAACCATGTTATTATAAGATCCCCAGGCCACTCAGCTTTCTGTCCACTATGTGCAAGTCCAGTGGCAATACTAGGAGGTTCCTTACTGAAGTCACTTGATTTCAGACTGTTACACCTGCACATAAACAGTCAAAGTGGCTTGAAATGTTCAATGTGTAGCAGTAAAGCAGAGAAGACACTTCCTTGATACTGGGAAATTTCAGCATGCATGACCAATACAAGATCACTGGTCTGGTCACTGCTTACATAATTTCATGTGTATTCTGATTTTTTGAGTTGGTAGCAGAAGCTTGAGACTCAACTCTTCAGCTTTAATGTTTATTTAACATAGGGTGTTTTGCCGAAATTGTGCCAGCCTTTTTCATGTATGAATTTGGCTCATTGAGTAAAAATGGTAGGACTAGAAATGTATTCATGGATCACCATAGCTATATTTTGCAAATATGTTACAGTAGTAATTTGTCTTTCTTAAGTAGTTTTGTTCATGTTCATCTGTGTTCTTTTGTACATGAGACACTGTAGTCGTTGCTCATCTACAAATGAGAAACATTTCTCAAGTGAATAAAAATTTGAGATTTGTGTTTTCATTCATTCTGTTAGTGAGAAGCAGAAAAAAAATTATATTGGAAGTTAGATATAAAAAGAACAGAACATTTCATACTAGTCTATACCAAAATAGAAGAAACATAATAAAATTTGTTTAAACTATCAAGAAGAAAGAATTCAGTTGAATTATTAGTTGAGTAATCTTTGGAATGATAAAGTTGTTATTATTAAGTATAAATTTGATAATACTGTTTGCAAATTTTCTTTTTTAGGGTGCAGATTTATCCCACGTGTTTTGTACCAAAGATGCAGCAACAGTAATCAAATCATATAGTCCAGAGCTGATTGTTCATCCAGTTCTGTAAGTGACTTTTGTTTAAATGAGCTAGTCAGGCTTGCTAGTTTTAATACTTCAGTCTGATAATTGATTAGTTTGTGTTATTTCTTTTGCTGAGTTACTGGATGGATGAGCTGGAGATCACAAGAACTCCAGGCTTTTTCCTTTCATTACGACCAGTTGAATATTTAATATGGGACAGTCAGCTGTGAATTTTTTTTCATGACTGTCAATGTACAAGGTTTAAAAAGCAGAGATCTTTCTTTCTGCTTGTTTTTGACCTGTTCTGTGATTGTAATGCATTTCCCAGTGAACAGTAGCAAGATCCAGAGCTACAAATTACTACAAGTCAGCATTTTGCAATCTGCATTTGAAAGGCAAATGGAGTGTGTTCTCTTGCTTCTTCAGCCTTGATAGTATTTAATAGTAGTGTGTCTGTTTTCCTCTCACTACTGTGTATGTAGACACCTAGATAAAATTACAAGGCAAGAGAGATGCTAATTCTCCTTTTTCTTCATGAGTATGTTGCTTGAAATACACACCTGTTCTTGGGAATAAATAGATGTTCCAAAATTATATAAAATAAGGGTTTAATTAACAAGAAGATGAAAATTTTAATAAGTGACTGTCCTCTGATTGGGAAAATCTCTGTGTGTGTGTGCTTCTCTGAATTTTTGTTCTGAAATGTGTTACTGATTAATGAACTTTCATGGAATAAATTGGTTTCAATTAGGTGTTGTGATGGTTTGCAATGAGCACTGCAAATTGGAATTAAGATGTGTGCCTTAGGTGTATGCCTGTGAGTTTAGCTCGCACCAGTGTCTATCAAAGTCTGTTGGTGTGCATAGCAAAGCTGTGATGAGGGTAGGAAAAGCATAATTTAAAAACGTTCAGATATTTTGTCAGGAATTTGTTTGTCAGATATTGCTGTCAGGAAGGATTTATGACAGTAGGAATATTTTGTTGTCTGAGAACAAGAATGTGGTGTTCCTTATGGGGACGCCTGTGGTAGGCAGTCGTAAGTTTATTGTGTTCTGAAGGTGGGTTTCATTCCTCTCGCTGGAGACAGAGGTGCTTAGAAGGAAGGTAGTTAAACAGGGTTGTGTTTTGTTGGCTGCTTTTTCCCCCCACTCCCCAAAGGTAGAAGAAACCCATAACTTTATGGATTTCAGACCAAATAAAAATGATGTTTGAAAGCAAGGGAGAGATGGGTAGGGTTTTTACCAGTATGACTGTTGGCCTCTTCAGTCTAAAAAGCATCTCTTCGGTTGATGTTCTGTCTGATATCATATAATAGCAAATGCAATGGAGAAGCCTAATGGCAATATTAACATTTAACTTGGAGTGTCTGGATGTGTTTCACTTGAGGTACAGCATATGGTCATCTTGTATGGTAACAAGTTGACCTTGCCTTGGGAAAAGCTTGGTTTGTGTACTCAGTGGTTCTTGATGTCTGGTCATGGAAAACATTAATAGGAGAAACAGAAGCGGCACAGAGGAAAAGGAAGCTGAAAATAGGGTTAACAGTAAACTTTCTGTTCATGAAGGACCAGATCAGGCCTGCTAAGTAAGAGATTTTTTTTATATACAGATTCTCAGTGTCTTCTGTGGAATTCAGATTTCAGTGAAAACTCTGATCTTTCTACCTGCCAAGACAACTTTAGATTTTAAACTTCTGCTCTATGAGTTCCTTCAGACATACACAGTATAGTTAATCTACAGATTTTCATATCCATGTGTATTTTAAGTCTGTGACTCAGTATTTAATACTTTTATTAAAACTCTGATTAATTTCATGCAGACAGCTGGGCTGATTGCATGATGCAGTGGATCTCTAAATATTGTTTACGTGACATTCAAAGTGAAAAAACTGCAAATATCTGAGTGTTCAGATTTTATTTATTGAATTTTCTCACGTTTTTATATCTTCTGCTTCATTCTCAAACCAGGACAGAGGGAAAGGGAAAACAGTCTTTTCTGGTTAAAAAGGAAAAAAATCTTGATTGACTCTACTGAGCCCAGGTTTTATTGAAATTTACACTAACAGCCTATTTTTCTTGTAAGGTCCTTTGTGTTCAGTGTCACACTTTTCATATGATCCTTTTTATCTGTTGTGGAGCCGTTTGAGTTCCGCGGGCACGGCCGGCTGCTCCTGATTGAGAGCCTGATCTCTTAAACAGTCTTTGTGCTTTCTCCCGGGCCGCGCTTCACGCATGGAGGAACCTCCGGGTAAAACCCACGAGCAGCTATGTCATTGTTTTCTTTTGTGCCTCTCCTTAAAACTCTGCTTTGTTATGATTTCTCCATGACCCTTCAGAGTAACTAGGTAGCTGTTGTACCACTCTCTTATTATGCTAATCATAATTATGGCCCCGTGTACTCAACTCCCTGTTTGAGCAGCTTGGCACTTGGCCAGGGTTCAGCTGCCATTTTGTACTGCCGAGAGTCTGACATTTTATCATCTTAGCTGCCACTGCTTTCTCTACTGCCTTCACTTCACAGGGGATCACCTCAAGGGAAGAAAATGCTCTTTTCTTGCCCCCCTCTGGATGCTCGGGCTCTTCTGGCTCATTAGAGCTGCTGTTGTGGATCTTTGCCAGCATGACTGGTGAAGGCATGAGAGAGTTAGAAGTTGGACCGGGGCGTTTCAGGTCTTTGGCAAATGTCTGTCACTTGAAGAATGTAGAGAATGTTATGTGAGAATCATTGAGCAGGATTGCAGAAGGAGGGTTATGAAAATGAACATCCATCTTGCAGCATTGCCAGGGCAATTCCATGTGACCTCGGATGTAGTCAATCCCAGGAATCCTTTTGGTGTGACATTCCATGCTGGGGACACCCATAGTGCCACTCTCTCTGTGATTTTTGTTTCTCGACTTCATTCCCTGTAGGTGAATGTGAGAGCTGGGACTGCATGTGGCAGCCTGGGATCTGGAAAAATGAAGCTTCAGCACCTGGCTCTGTGTCCTCACTACCTGAGCAGAATAATGAAAGCAGGGTGTCTGGAGGCTGGGAATAGTCAGTATTATCAGTAGTAACTTTTCCTTTTTATTCAGAGATTCTGTTAAATGCATTATGGCTCCTTCCACAACAGCCTGATATTATTCAAAAATTGACCAGCTAACCAGTTCAATATTGTTGATGTCTGACTTCTTGCTTTCTTGTGGAGAAGCAAAAAATGCATGTTGCAGAAGTTGGGGTCTTCTGAATACTGGAATATACCCAGTCTTGGTGACATCTGCTGTCCTTGGTCTTGTCGCTGCTACCTTGGGTTTGTGCTGCATTTTCCTGTTCTGTTAGCTAATGTGCTCCTACTCTGAGTGCTTCACAAATACAGGCAAGACAAAGCCTAGCTTTGGCATTTTATTAAGTTTTATTGCAGGTGTTCTGTCTGTGGAATTTTGCTGTAGATGTGTGCACACTTCCTTCATGCTTTTCTAGAGAAGAGTTTTCAGCAGCTTTTTTATATTTGTCATGTTGGTGGCCTGGCTCAGATCAGGTTGAATAGACTTCTTGGGTACCTGTGTTGGGTTAGCTTATTCTGTCTTGGTAGGCAAGTGATCCCAGAGCTATATGAGCTGTAGGAGCCCAAGTGGCTGTATGTTAAAAGAAGAGAGAATAAATCTGTTGTGCTATTTTCCCCTTTTGCAGGGACTTTTCATAATTGTACAGAGATTTTCTTCTCTGTAGGCCAGAAAAGAGCTAGATACTGCTGAGTAGCCCCCTTGTGAGCTGGGTATCAGATACTTTGTGAAGTCAACAGTCAGTATACTCCATGATCTCTCCAGGGTTTTATCAGAGAAGTAGAATGAGGTCATTAATTTCTTGTGGTGCCAAAGAGGTGATGTAATTTTACATTACCCACCAAAAAAACCACCCTTGAACAAGGCATGGATTTAGAACTAAAACCTTTCTCTTAGCTGGTTACATCTCTGGGTTTGTGTGCACTAGGAAAGATTGTCAGAATTACTTGAAATCTTACAGTTAATTGCAGAGTTGAGGTTTTGGGTTGCATTTTGGAAAAGATTATTCTTTTGAGTTTGAAATAAGAATAATTGGGAAGAAAATACTCCTGAGGCTGGACTGTTTGTTGAGGCCAGTTACTTTTAATGAATAAACTCAATGGAGATCAAGGTTTCTGGAACATATTTTACCTAGTTTTATTGAATTTTGTCTATGTTTTGAGCATTTGAAAAAATCATGAAAGTGAATCATGGGTAGTTGAGGCCCTGGTAAGTTACTTGAGCACTCTGAACCAGTGCCAAATCTCTTACAGAAGGCCCAGCAAAAATCTTAATATTTTTGGTCTCCTGTATTTATTATGTGAAGAGGAGATGCAAAAGCATTGATGCAGTGTGGGAGGATGCTCATACATTTTAGTTGTGTTAGCTAAGGATAGCTATTAAATACTGCTTTGGTGTAATGCTGGCACTAACCTCACTTTTGGATCAGCTGCTGGAAGAAGTGCAGAGTTGTTGTCACCAGGGAAAGTCAGGGAATAAACAAAGATCCCTCCAGCTGTCAAAAAGATGTCTCACAGGTGACTTGGCTGCTGGATCCCTTTTACACCTGCAAAGATGAAGGAAGATACAAACTTTGTGATCTTTCTCCCAAAGCCTCATTTAGACATCAGCCTGGCTAGGAATAACATCAGAAAGTTCAGGTTTTTTTCTTAAGTACTTAGGGAGAGATAAAGGTCAGTTTGTAAGTGGTGACTTAGAGAATTTATGTATTTAAACTCTTGTTCTGTCAGACAATGCCGTGGCCAAAACTTGCTTATGGACCTGTTTCTTGTGTCCAGCTTTCTTGGCAAAAAAACTGCTCCTTCTTTGCTGTGTGTTGCAGAGTGAATAAAAGGAGGAAGGAGTATTCACCCTGTGCTACAGTCCTTTTCCTTCCTGTTACTGCAGAGATCCCATGTGATTCCAGCAGAGGTTTTGTCACCTCCTCAAAGTGTGAGAAGTAGCCAAAGATTTTTAGCATTGCTGCAGGGAGTGCTGCTGTCCTTGCTGCTTTCTGATATG